TATGGGGGCCAGTGTTGAATGGATGGGGGATATTATGGGGGTCAGTGCTGGATAGATGGGGGGGGGGGGGTATTATGGGGGGGTGGGTGTTGAATGGATGGGGGATATTATGGGGGTCAGTGCTGGATAGATGGGGGGGTATTATGGGGGTGGGTGTTGGATGGATGAGGTAGATATTATGCGGGTCAGTGTTGGATGTATAAGGGGTGGGGGGATGTGTTGGGGGTCAATGTTGGATGGATGTGGGGGGAGTGGTATTATGGGGGTCAGTGTTGGATGGCTGGGGGAGATATTATGGGGGTCAGTGTTGGATGGATGGGGGAGATATTATGGGGGTCAGTGTTGGATGGGTGGGTGGATATTATGGGGGTCAGTGATGGATGGATGGGGGGGTATTATGGGGGCCAGTGTGGATGGATGGGGGGGTATTATGGGGGCCAGTGTGATTAATGGATGGGGGGGATGGATATTATGGGGGTTAGTGTTGGATGGGGGGGGATATTATGGGGGTCAGTGTTGGATGGATGGGGGGTGGATATTATGGGGGTCAGTGTTGGATGGATGGGGGGGTATTATGGGGGCCAGTGTTGGATTAATGGATGGGGGATATTATGGGGGTCAGTGTTGGGGGGGTGGATATTATGGGGGGTCAGTGTTGGATATTATAGGGGGTGGGGGGGATATTTTGGGGGTCAATGTTGGATGGATGGGGGGGGGTATTATAGGGGTCAGTGTTTGGGTGATGGATATTATGGGGGTCAGTGTTGGGGGGATGCTGAACTCTACTGGAGAGGACACGGGAGGGGGAATATAATTTCGGGGGTGTCACCATGAGATGTAGTGGAAGTCTGGGGAGGTGTAGAGAATGGAGGGGCCCCAGGACAGGACATTGGAGGCCCCTCTGTGGAGGAGCTCTGTGATTGGTGGGAGGAGACCCCGGAGTGATGAATGTAGAGTGTTAGCTCCTGGGGCAGGAATGTACAGCTCTGTGTCAGCACTCTATATACATCTCATCTCTGGGGGTCTCCTCATTCTCATTGTTTTGGGGGGGGTCGATATCTCTGAGCTACAACAACATGGCCACCGCCCCCCCCCCCTGTACTGGGGACACCTCCATCTCTAGTCTCAATCACAGTCCTCCCTCCTGGGGACCCCACATACAGTGCACACACACAGAGGATCACTCCCCATGACTGACAATCTCCGGCACTGATGGGTTCGCTTCACTAAATGCAAAGAGAGATTACCTGACCAAGGAGCTTCACACCGGACCGCCCTTCCCTCAGACTACAACAAAATGGCGGCTCCCCTCCACCAGAGTCCCCTCCCCTTTCCACGACTACAAAAAAATGGCGAGTACGCCTCTCATCCGTGTACTACAAGAAAATGGCGGCTCCGCTCCCTGCCGAGTCTCCTCGCCTTTTTCTCAGACTACAATATACTGGTTCTTTTCCCGACAGACAGGAAGCGGCGGGTGAAGGGAACACGAGGACATTGTACAGAAAGGAAGAGAAGTACCACTTCCGGCATGTGTGGCGGGAGACGTCGTGTATACGCCCTGTGATCAATGGAGTCGTCACGTCACGTGATCCCAGCTCCGGCACATGATTGGCCAAGTTATGATGTGAGGCGTAATCTTGTTCTCCGGTCTCTAAGTGAATATAGAGGTCATGGCTGTCCTGACTGCTCTGTGTAGAAGAATCAGTGAATATACAGAGGTGTCCCCGCTTGAGAGATTCCACGACTTCCTGTCCCAGTGACCCCCCTATTATCTGGATATAGAAGGACATATTGTTATATCCCGGATGTGTGAGGAGGACCTGTTCCTAGAAGTGGAAACTACCTGAAAGATCCGTGATGTCACCGAGAGATCTGCTGCCAGGGGAGGCGAGGTGTCCGTGATGTCACCGAGGAGATCTGCAACGTCGCCAGGGGAGGCGAGGTGATCCGTGATGTCACCGAGGAGATCTGCAACGTCGCCAGGGGAGGCGAGGTGATCCGTGATGTCACCGAGGAGATCCGTGATGTCCAGAGGAGATCTGCAACGTCGCCAGGGGAGGCGAGGTGATCCGTGATCACCGAGGAGATCTGCAACGTCGCCCGAGGAGATCCGTGATGTCACCGAGGGAGATCTGCAACGTCGCCAGGGGAGGCGAGGTGATCCGTGATGTCACCGAGGAGATCTGCAACGTCACCAGGGGAGGCGAGGTGATCCGTGATGTCACCGAGGAGATCTGCAACGTCGCCAGGGGAGGCGAGGTGATCGTGATGTCACCGAGGAGATCCGTGATGTCACCGAGGAGATCTGCAACGTAGCCAGGGGAGGCGAGGTGATCCGTGATGTCACCGAGATCTGCAACGTCGCCAGGGGAGGCGAGGTGATCCGTGATGTCACCGAGATCTGCAACGTCGCCAGGGAGGCGAGGAGATCCGTGATGTCACCGAGGAGATCTGCAACATCGCCAGGGGAGGCGAGGAGATCCGGGTCAGCGGGGGGAGATCTGTACCGTCACCGGGGGAGGCGAGGAGATTCGTAAGGTCATTGGGGGGAGACGGGGACATCCGTAACATCATCTGGGGGGCAGCGGGGAGAACCTTACCATAATTGGGGGAGGCGGGGAAAACCGTACCGTCATCGGGGGAGGTGGGGAGAACCATAACTTCATCGGGGGGAGCGATTTCCCATTGAAGCCTACGGGGAGCAATTTCCCATTGAAGCCTACGGGGAGCGATTTCCCGTTGAAGCCTACGGGGAGCGATTTCCCATTGAAGCCTACGGGGAGCGATTTCCCATTGAAGCCTAAGGGGAGCGATTTCCCATTGAAGCCTACGGGGCGCGATTTCCCATTGAAGCCTACGGGGAGCGATTTCCCATTGAAGCCTAAGGGGAGCGATTTCCCATTGAAGCCTACGGGGAGCGATTTCCCATTGAAGCCTACGGGGAGCGATTTCCCATTGAAGCCTACGGGGAGCGATTTCCCATTGAAGCCTACGGGGAGCGATTTCCCATTGAAGCCTACGGGAGCGATTTCCCATTGAAGCCTACGGGGAGCGATTTCCCATTGAAGCCTAAGGGGAGCGATTTCCCATTGAAGCCTAGGGGAGCGATTTCCCATTGAAGCCTAACGGGGAGCGATTTCCCATTGAAGCCTACGGGGCGCGATTTCCCATTGAAGCCTAAGGGGAGCGATTTCCCATTGAAGCCTACGGGGAGCGATTTCCCATTGAAGCCTACGGGGAGCGATTTCCCATTGAAGCCTACGGGGAGCGATTTCCCATTGAAGCCTACGGGGAGCGATTTCCCATTGAAGCCTACGGGGGGAGCGATTTCCCATTGAAGCCTACGGGGAGCGATTTCCCATTGAAGTCTACGGGGAGCGATTTCCCATTGAAGCCTACGGGGAGCGATTTCCCATTGAAGCCTACGGGGAGCGATTTCCCATTGAAGCCTACGGGGCGCGATTTCCCATTGAAGTCAAGGAGGCAGTGTGTGAGCCCAGACACCAAGACACAATTTCTAGTCTCCATGGTGGCCTGTGATTTGTAGAGCCCTGGAGTCACATATTGTTTGCCTGTTAGCTAGTCCTCCTAGAGGTTACTACATGATGGGATAAGTCTGGTGTCAACTTCACCTCATTATCTAATCAGAGTGGGATGTTCATCCTAATGTGTAATATTTGTTTTATTGTTCGTGTGGGGACTGCCTGTGTTTCTGAAGTGTATAAAAACCTGTATTTCTGTTCAATGATAAGTTCCGGTTTGCTCCTAAGCTAGTGTCATCTAGTCCTTGGGTGCAATGCCCAGCTATAATATCTTGGGTGTGTCTCGGTGGCGAGGAAGCGGTTCTGACGGAAGAACCCAGGCGGGGTGCCAGGCTGTCCGTCACATGGTATATCACAAAGAAGACTTACTAACTGGATCCATAGAGGAGGTGGGGGCTTAGTGTAACATACAGCAACCTCTACTAACCAGATCCATGGAGAGGGTGGGGATCCAGTATAGAGGTGTCTATTAGTAACTGGATCTATAGTGGTGGTGGGGATCTAGTATAACAAAGAGTGGTCCTTAAGTAACTGGAACCATAGAGGGGGTAGGGTCCTGGTATAGCAGAGAGGATCTGTGGAGGAGGTGGGCACCTGGTGCAAACAGGATCAAGGCCTGCCACAATGGGCTGGTGTGAGGAACAGTAGGAAGGACTGACACACTGATTGGGGGAGAAGCACAGCAAAGTAATGGCCCACCTCTGTCCTGCAGGTACTAGTCAGGTAATGGACACTGAGCAGGTGGAGAGAAAACTAAGGCCTAAAAGTGAGGGACATTAAACAGGTGAAGGAAAAGTAAAACCTAAGTCCGCAGGCTCCATTTTTATCTGTGGTGCACCCATAACTAACCCTGAAGACCTCGGAACACACAACTGCCAACACAAAGGATTCAGTGGAGGTTTGCGGAGTGCCAGACCTCAGGGAACAGTCTATGGGGGGTGAGTGGATGTCTTAGTGTCCTGTAAGGCCGGGTATATACCTCAGTGACCAATAAAAGAAGACAAAGTGACACTGAAAATCTGACACGTTTATTAAAATATTACAATATTTTGTATACATGTTTTACAGATATTTGACATTTTCTCTGCCCTGTCCAGTCACCACGTCTGAGAACATCATACATTGTCCACCAGAAGGCCTTATAGACAATTAGGGCCCCAATCACAGGACAAGTACTATATACATCCTTCATCCAAGTCATACACACATATCCCGCTGAGTACTGTCTACACTGAGGGCAAGTACTATACCCAGTCAGAGTATTCTATACCCCGCCACCCAGTGAGAGGAGTATTATATATGGAGTAACAGACCCCTGGGGGAAGGGCTGACAGGGTAACAGCTCCACACAGTCCCAGATTGGAGCAGATATCTGCCTCCTGCCCCACTCTTCACTGTGGAGGCGAATATGGCTTCTAGTATAACATTCCTCCACCCAAAGTTGATATGAAGGACAGATTATAAAATGGCACATCTCCACCCGGCTCCATTATCAGCCTGTGATGACGGCTCCGGCTTTTCTTCAACACTAAAAAATAAAAGTCAATGAGAACTGTAAGGAGATATGTCTTATTAACTGGCATCCATTCTGAGTCAATAGTTTCACTTGTAACGTCTCTCGTTTTCTGAGAATAGTTTCATCTCACTGTAAAAGGAACCACCTTATATGGTCTCCCTCAGCTATTTGCAGTTTCTATTCTTCACGTAACTATAATGATAAGAATGGAATGTTTCATTGGTAATCCTAAGATTAAACCACGCCCACTGAGTTCTGGGCTACAGGCAGGAATTGGTCCTTTCAAGAACAAATTACTGTAGGGACATTACCATCAGGAGCCCCAATCAAGATGAACTACGGCCAAATCGAATAAAGGGAAAACCCTACCTGTGAGTCAACCCAAACCATCTCCCAATATTCCCTGATTATCCCCCAATAATCCCTGACCATCATCCAATATTAACCCTCACATCCCCGATTATCCCTAATAAACCACAACCATCTTCTGATAATTTCAAAATTTACATGGATCATCCCCTGAAAAAAAAACCTTGACCATCTTCTGATTCATTTACTCGACAATCCCCTGATATTCGCAAATTAACTCCGACCATTCCCCGATAATCTCTAATCTCACCCATCTTTCAATCATTTCAACATCAACCCTGACCATACTCCAGTAGTACAAAAACACTCCAACCATCCCCCAATAATCCAAATATCACCCCTAAAAATCTTCCAATAATTCAAATAACCCCTGAGGATTGGGGGGGGGGGTGAGGAACGTTAATGGGAGGATGGAGGGTGCGAGGAACGTTGATGGGAGGATGGAGGGTGCAAGGAACGTTGATGGGAGGATGGAGGGAGCAGGGAACGTTGATGGGAGGATGGAGGGAGCAGGGAACGTTGATGGGAGGATGGAGGGGAGCAGGGAATGTTGATGGGAGGGTGTGAGGAATGTTGATGTGGAGGGTGTGAGGAATGTTGATGGGAAGATGGTGGGAGGGGGTGAGGAACATTGATGGGAGGATGGCGGGTGTGAGGAACGCTGATGGAGGATGACGGGTGTGAAGAACATTCACAGGAGAATGGATGGTGTGAGGAACATTGATGGGAGGATGGAGGGTGTGAAGAACATTGATGGGAGGATGGCGGGTCTGAGGAATGCTGATGGGAAGATGAGGGGGTGTGAGGAACATTGATGGGAGGATGGCAGATGTGAGGAACGCTGATGGCAGGTGTGAGAAACGTTGATGGGAGGATGAAGGGTGTGAGGAACATTGATGGGAGGATGGCGGGTCTGAGGAACGCTGATGAGAGGAACGTGATGGGGGGTGTGAGGAACGTCGATGGGATGGGGGTGTGAGGAACATTGATGGGAGGATGGCGGGTCTGAGGAACGGTGATGGGAGGATGGCGGGTCTGAGGAACCTTGGGTGGAGGATGGGGAGGATGAAGGGTGTGAGGAACATTGATGGGAGGATGGCGGGTCTGAGGAATGTTCATGGGAGGAAGGCGGGTGTGAGGAATGTTTATGGGAGGATGTATGGTGTAAAGAATGTTGATGGGAGGGTGTGAGGAATGTTCATGGGAGGATGGTGGGTGTGAGGAACGTTCATGGGAGGAAGGCGGGTGTGAGGAATGTTCATGGGAGCATGTATGGTGTGAGGAACATTGATGGGAGGGTGTGAGGAATGTTCATGGGAGGATGGCGGGTTTTGAGGAACATTCACAGGAGGATGGCGGGTGTGAGGAACGTTCACGGGAGGATGGCGGGTGTGAGGAACGTTCAGGGGAGGATGTATGGTGTGAGGAACGTTGATGGGAGGGTGTGAGGAATGTTCATGGGAGGATAGGGGTGTGAGGAACGTTCATGGGAGGATAGCGGGTGTGAGGAACGTTGATGGGAGATGATGAAGGGGTATGAGGAGCGTTCATGGGAGGATGGAAGGTGCGGGGAACGTTTATGGGAGGATGGGGGGTGCCGGAAACGTTCATGGGAGGATGGCGGGGGAGGATGGTGGATGTGAGGAACGTTGATGGGCGGATGAAAGGGTGTGAGGAGCGTTCATGGGAGGATGGTAGGTGTGAGGAATGTTGATGGGCGGATGAAGGGGTGTGAGGAGCGTTCATGGGAGGATGGCAGGTACAAGGAGCATTCATCACATAGGTGAGTATAGGCAGTAATATGCAAGGTTTGCTTAAGGTATTAACCCCCCCCTCCCCATTAGCATTAACATTTTGAGGGTTTCTTCCTCTTCACCATTAGCTGCTCTAAACGTATTCTGCAGGGGAGGACGCCAAGCTCTGTGAGGTCCTGCGGGGACAGGGCCCTGATAAATTTATAAGACCTTGTGGGGGAGGGGCCATGAAAATGTAGCAGACCTTGTGGGGGAGGGGCACTGATAAATTTAGGACTTTTCTGTCACAGATACGAAGGACCATGTACATACGGCTCAGTGACTCTCATTCGCTTCCATGATGCTTCTTCTGGATCTCCAGACTCTTCCTTCGGCACACTGACCTATAGAGCAAACACACACATCATTACACTATAAAGTACTCAAGTATACAAAACTTTATCAGTCTAAACAGTTTTCTTAGTAAATTTCCAGAAAGATCAGTAGTGATAATGTAAGTCTACAGGGGCCCTCAGTCATACAGCCATGTTCAATGAAGGGAATTACCGCAATCCCCTCAATCTAATATCTGTACCCTTGCTCCCCAAAACCTCCCTCCCGTTTTCATGTGCACTCTGGAACGCCCGCTCGGTCTGCAATAAGCTCACCTCTATCCATGACCTCTTTGTCTCCCGCTCCCTTAACTTAGCTTCTCACCGAAACCTGGCTCCAAGCAGCAGATTCTGTCTCCCCCGAAGCACTCTCCTACGGAGGCCTCATCTTGACCCACTCACCCAGACCCAGTGGTCGGGAAGGAGGCGGGGTTAGTCTACTTCTGTCACCACTGAGCACCTTTCAAGTCCTCCCTAACCCTCCCTCTCTATCCTTCTCTTCCTTCGAGACCCACTGCATCCGGCTATTCTCTCTGATCTCTCTGAGGATTGCAGTGATCTATCGGCCTCCTGGACCCGTGTCCCGCTTTCTTGACAACTTCGCCGCCTGGCTACCCTACTTTCTCTCCTCTGAGCTACCCGCTATCATTCTCGGAGACTTCAATATCTCTATTAACATCAATAACCCGGCTACATCCCAACTCCTCCACCTAACCTCATCTTTTGCATTAGCACAGTGTATACAGTCCTCCCACTCACTCCGACGGGAATACCTTAGACCTTGTCTTCTCTCACCACTCTACTCCCTATAACCTCACAAACACCCCCTTTCCCCTCTCTGATCACAATCTCATCACATTCACAGTCTCCTCGTCCTCTAACACCTATCCCACCAAACAGCAAACAATTACCAGCAGAAATCTCCGAAACCTAAACCCGGCTCCCTTCCATTCTGCAACTGACCAACTCTATGACAGCATCAACCCCTTGTCCTGCCCTGACCTGGCCACTGCTGTCTACAACAACTCGCTTTCATTAACTTTAGACTAGCTTGCTCCCCTAACAACACGAAGCATCAGGCCCCAACCTCTACAACCTTGGCAGACTGACCACACCCGAAATCTCAAACGACAGAGTCGCATGCGCGGGAGCGAATATGGCGTAAAACCAAATCCCACCAAGCTTTCACCCGATATAAATCTGCCTTCTTAACATACACTTCCTTCCTTCACGCTGCTAAACAAGCCTACTTTGTCACTCTCATTAATACCTTCTCTTTGAGTCCTTGCCGGCTCTTCTCTACTTTTAACTCTCTACTTTCTCCACCGCGCCACCCAGCGCCTCACTCACTGCTCACGAGATTGCACACCACTTCCAAAACAAGATCGACGCAATTCGTAGGGACATCGCCACTACACAGACACCCACCCCAGTTAGCATCCCTCACACCATACCTCCCTCAACACTTTCCTCCTTTGACTTCGCTACCACCGAAGAGGTCCTTAAGGTCTTCTCAGAAGCCCGCCTCACCACCTGCCTCCTGGACCATGTCCCCTCACAACTTCTTCAGTCACCCTCCTCTTCCATCCTTTGCTCCCTCACTCATATCTTCAATCTTTCCCTCTCTACAGGTGCCTTCCCCTCCCCTCTAAAGCACGCGCACTAAACTCCCATACTCAAAAAAACCCTCCCTGGACCCCACCAACCTGAACAACCTCAGACCCATCTCCCTGCTGCCATTTACCGCTAAACTCCTAGAACGCTTACTATACAATCGCCTGAGCTCCTACCTCACTGACAACAACCTTCTCAACCCTTTACAGTCTGGCTTTTGCCCTCTACACTCTACTGAAACTGCCCTACTAAAACTCTCTAATGACCTACTAACTGCAAAAACCAACGGCCACTATTCAATACTCCTACTACTCGACCTCTCTGCGGCTTTTGACACGGTTGACCATCCCCTCCTCCTCAAAAAACTACTCTCTTGGCCTCAGAGACACACCGCTTTCTCCTGGTTCTCCTATCACAGCGCTCTTTCAGTGTTACCTATAACGCTGCCACCTCCTATTCACTCCCTCTCTTTGTAGGGGTCCCCCAAGGTTCTGTCCTTGGACCCCTTCACTTCTCCATTTACACCTCCTCCCTTGGTCACTTGATAAACTCCCACGCCTTTAATCACCATCTCTATGCTGATGACACGCAAATCTATCTGTCTACCCCTCACCTCACCCCTTCAGTCTCATCCTCACCTCACCCCTTCAGTCTCCATCCGCATCGCTAGCCTACTAAGTGACATATCGGCTTGGATGTCACTCCACTTCCTCAAACTCAACCTTTCCAAAACTGAGCTCCTAGTATTCCCCCCACCCGTGCCACCTCCACTGACCTCATCATAAATATTGATAACACAATCATCAGTCCATCTCCTCATGCCAGGGTACTAGGGGTAATCCTAGACTCCCATCTGTCCTTCTAGCCCCAGATCCAATCGCTGACAAAATCATGTAGACTTCACCTCCACAACATCTCCAAGATACGACCGTTCCTAACCTCGGAAACCATATTATATCACACCTCGACTATTGTAACTCCCTCCTCATTGGCCGACCTCACCGCAGGCTATCCCCCCTCCAGTCTATCATGAACGCTGCTGCCAGACTCATCCACCTCACTAACCATTCTGTATCTGTCACCCCTCTCTGCCAATCCCTCCACTGGCTCCCAGTTGCTGCGTCCTGTGATGTATGATGGGATCGTGAATGTAAGGAGGACAAGCAGTATGGGGGCTCAGGGCCGCCATCACCCGTCCACAGAGAGGGGGACAATGATGTATAGAGGGAGATATGTGCCCAATGGAAGAAGATACGTCTCCAGACAACCAACCATTCAGAATGTTCTATTATACCACCCCATGTGATCATCCGCTAATAAACACACCTTCTATAGCTTCACTACATGAGGAGGATGACGATGGAAGGATGGATGAATGAGTGGAATGATGATGATGGATGGATGATGATGAATTGAATAACAATGGATGGATGGAATGATGATGGATGAATTAGTGGAATGATGATGGATGAGGATGATGAATAACAATGAATTTGATGGACTAATGATGATGAATGGATGAAATGATGATGATGGATGGAAAGAGAATGATGGATGGATGCAATGACGATGATAAATAAATGGATGGATAGACAGATAAAATGATGAATGGATGGGTGGAATGATGGTGGTTGGATGGATGGAATGATGAATGATTGTTGGATGGAATGAGGTAGGTGATGAATGATGATTGGATGGAATGATGAATGCAATGACGATGATGAACAAATCGATGGATAGAGGGATGAAATGGTGATGAATGGATGGATGATGAGTGGAAGAGTGAATGATGATGGGTGAATAGAATAATAATGATGAATACCGATGGATGGATGGAATTATGAAGAATGATGGATGGATGAGGATGGATTGAGGGGATAATGATGGTTGGATGGAATGAGATGGATGATGAATTGTGGATGGATGGAATGATGACGAAGATGGATGGAATGATGATAATGAATGATGGATGGATGAGGATGGATGCAATTATGTCGATGAATAAATAGATGGATGAAATGATAATAATGAATGCATGGGTGAAATGATGATGGTTGGATGGATGGAATGAGAAGGATGATGAATGGATGAAGATGGATGGATGGAATGATGAGGACAATAATGAATGATGGATGAGGATGGATGATGATGAATAAATAAATGGGTAGATGGATGAAATGATGATGGTTGGATGGATAGAATGAGGAAGATGATGGATGAATATGGATGGAAAGAATGATGATGGAATGACAATGATGAATAAATATATAGATGGATGAAATGATGAATTATGGATTGATGATGGATGGAATGAGGAGAATGATGAATGAGGATGGAATGATGATGGATGGGTGGATGTAATGAGGAGGAGGAGGAGGAGATGATGAGTGATGCATGGAATGATGAATGGATGGAATATCTAGTATTGTGGATGGTCTGTAGGAGTCCATGAGGCAGTGTTTTTGGCATTATCAGTAGGGAGGACTCCAGACCTGGAGGAGGGATGAGGAAGTGATGAGTAGAGGAATAGTTCTATTTCCTTACATGACGTCTCTTGGGAACTCTCGGTGGCACAGAAGTGTTTGGTGGCTCCTCGGGAATCGTTGGATGACTCTGTGATCCTCCACCACTAGTGCTGCCATCTGAGCGGAGTTTTCTAGGAGACAAAATTGTCTATCAACCATGGTCCTCCTTTAATCTGACAATAACTCCTCTGTTTCCCACCTTCAATGGAACTCCCACCATCTGTGAGGAACCTGTGTGAGTATCACCCTCCATGTGTCCATCCCCGGAGTATCCATCTACCAGACCATCTCCTTCCAGACCAATCACAAACACTGAAAGAGCCCAGTTTTCTATGAATTCTTATACTGTACCGCGCTCCAATATTATCAACCTTTTGTGATTGACCTTTTTTGATTGTGTAAATTTCTTAATATACCACCTATAATCCAATCATTACTTACTTCTATGGTGCTTAAATATACAATTAACAAATTAATTTATAAATTTATAAATGGGGAGGGGCGGTGACGTTATCACACATCCACAGAGGAACGGCGAGTATATTTACTGAAAGCAAACACACCAGCCAGGCTGTCTGAAGCACGATCTGGATACATTGTATGCAAAGCGCTATTTAATTGTTAATTGTATATTTAAGCACCATAGAAGTAAGTAATGATTGGATTATAGGTGGTATATTAAGAAATTTACACAATCAAAAAAGGTCAATCACAAAAGGTTGATAATATTGGAGCCACCTTACAGTATAAGAATTCATAGTTTATATTTATACACCTAGAGAGGGTGAAATTAGTGCCTAGCGATCTAATATTTAATAAATATTCACTTAAGCACACAATTAACACTAGTAATAGAGTAAGTTAACTCCTGGTGGCTCACAAAAAACTATTCTATTAAAATTGCAGCCCAGTTTTCTGTACGTCTCATAGGGGTTTACTTACTAAACCTGGAAAGTTCAAAATCCGGCTCACTTCTGCATAGAAACCAATCAGCTTCCAGATTGTATTGCCAAAGCTTCATTGAACAAGCTGAGGATAGAAGCCGTTTGGTTTCTATGCAGAAGTGAGGCAGATTTTGCACACAACAGTTTAGTAAATAAACCCCACAGTGTCCTAATCGTCTTCATCCGGACACACAGATCACATCATTCTACACCCCCTGGGGTAATAATACTACTATACACAGGTATACAGACTATTATTAGTATAAAGTCCAGGCCGGGGCTCACCTCACGGCAGTCAGCAGACACTCGTACCAGCTGTTCATGTCCTGTTGGTTGGATGACATCAGAAGAAGTTTCTCCCTCTTGAAGGACAACTGAACAGAAAGATTATGAGGAGTGATAAGGGGAGGGGTATAGAGATGAGGAGGGGGAGGGGTACAGAGATGAGGGGGTAGTGACAAGGAGATAAGGGGGAGGGGTATAGAGATAAGGGGGGTGGTAACAAGGAGGAAGTGAGAGGGAAGGGTATAAGAGATAAGGGGGTGGTAGCAAGGAGGATAAGGGGGAAGGGTATAGAGATAAGGCGGTGGTAACAAGGAGGAGGAAGGGTATAGAGATAAGGGGGTGGTATAGCAAGGAGCAGTATAAGGGGGAGGGGTATAGAGATAAGGGGTGGTAACAAGGAGGAGGGGAAGGGTATAGAGATAAGGGGTGGTAGCAAGGAGCAGATAAGGGGGAGGGGTTATAGAGATAAGGGGGGTATAGAGAAGGGGTGGTAGCAAGGAGAAGATAAGGGGGAAGGGTATAGAGATAAGGCGGGTGGTAACAAGGAGGGGGAAGGGGTTGGGTGATGTAGAAAGTTTATGGAGAAAAGACAACACTCACACTGATCAGCCCTCCTTGGCTCTGGGTGTGGCCCAGGACTCTCTCCACCCGGCATTCTCTCAGTGGGTAGATTGCCCGACAGCAGAATTTATGAGCGTTGACGGGGTGTAAGGGGTGACAAGGAGAGGTGACAGCCAGGACATCAGAGAAGAGGAAGAGCATGCGATGTTTGACCTCCTCTCCACTGGGTGGTACAAGAGACAGCCATCCTTCTCTGATATATCGTCTTCCTGGAAGAGAGATCACCAAGTCAGGGGGGATCGGGAAGGAATTGTTTCCCCTGGAGGAGCAAATTGAATCATGCTTTGCTGGGGTTTTTTTTCCTTCCTCTGGATTAACTGTGGGTATAGGATTGTAACTTTTTTTTCATGGTTGAATTGGGTGGACTTTTGTCTTTTTTCAGCCAGACTAACTATGTAAATCACCTGTCAGAGAAACCTAAGATGTAAGCATCGCTGTGTATTACTGCCATCCTACTGGGAAGAAACGTTATTCCGATCTCATCCTGGCTGACCACCTGTTAAGGATCCCTGCTGGGTCTTCAAGGATTTCCAGCACTCTGGAGACCTCCAGTACTTACAGTACCTAAAGGATCCATGCCTGGTCCTCCAGGATTTTCAGGATTGCTAGGATCTCTAGTTACAGGATACCTGCTGGGTCGTTCAGAGTTCCGGGACTCCTGGAACTTCCAGTATTAACAGGATCCATATCATGTCTCCCAGGACTTCCTGAAATCTTAGGATTTCCAATATTCACAGGAACCCTGCTGTGTCTTCCAGGAGTTCCAGGACTCCTGGGACCTCCAGTACTGAGAGGATCCATATCAGGTCTTCCAGGATTTCAAGAATTCTTAGGACCTCTGGTATTCACAGGATACCTGCCGAGTTTTCAGGAGTTCCAGGACTCCTGTGACTTACAGTACTCATAGGGTCCATGCTAGGTCTTCCAGGAATTTCAGAATTTCTAGGACCTCCAATATCCACAGGAACCCTGCTAAGTCTTCCAGGAGTCTTGGGACCTCCAGTACTCTCAGGATCCAGTTTTGTCAGGTTTTTGGGGATTTCTATAAGGATCCATGCCAGGTCTTCCAGGATCTCTACTACCTTCAGGACTTCTGGAGCCCCCAGTAGCAATGCTGGGCATGTCCTCTGACCAGGAATGGAATTTAGGCATCGGCCAGTGCCACATCATCTTCTCTTCACACACATGAGAGCCAAGACTATAATACTTACCTGCCACTTGCCTGGCTACTCTCTCACCTGCCTCCACCCCTGTCTGGATTTGACTACTCCTATGTCAGGAGACCTGCAAAGAGTCTCTGCACCATGAGCACTCCAATTCAGCCACTTGGTGGAACAATCCTAAAGGGCCCACTCGGGTCATCTACCCAGACAGTACCATACATATAACATGTCATCTACCTAGACAGTACCATACATACAACACGTCATCTACCCAGATGGTTCCGTACATACATATCATCTACCTAGACAGTACCGTACATACAACAAGTAATGGGAAACTAAAGGTTCCCAGCCCAAAGGTGCATAAGCTTGAATCACATTTAGCGAATACACTGAGAAATAGTGGATGCCAAAGTTGCTTGTCCTTCCCTGGGACCATTCATGACGATGAGCAAAAAATCAGTCTTCCAGATGGAAGTGGTAAACTTGAAGTATAATCTAATGGCCTGAACCACATCCAAATAATGAAGTTCTACTTCCTTAGGATGACAAGGACTAGGGCACAGAGAAGACAAGACAATGTCCTCATTTATATGAAAGGTTGACACCACCTTTGGCAGAAAGGACAACCAAGGCCAAACTACCCACCTTATCCATATGATGCGGTAAGGGATTTCCGGCAAGACGAATCGTGATCGGAAATGCGCGATCGTGCACACTCACGGCAAAGATTAGCACCAGACGGCCTATTTAAGAGAATGTCTCTGCTCCTGTTCAGTGCTGACTGGTCTTCAGCTCCCCCGTGTCCTGCTTGCTCCTGTATGATTCCTTTGTTGCTGACCCGGCTTGTTCCTCACCTGACTCTGATCGTTTTCCCTGAATTCGGCTCTGCTCCTGACCTTGGCTTTTCCTTCTGATTCTGTACCCGCGATGCCTGACTGATGATGACCCGGCTATTCCATGACATTGCTCCTGTCTCTTGTCCTCACTACCTGCCTTGCTCCGGTGCACGCCTGGCAATCTGCAAAACCTGCTCTGCCTACTAATACTGTGCCAAAATCAGAGGAACATCAGCCTTCCAAGGTTTTCATCAGCAAGAGCTGCAAACAACAACTACTGACACTCTTGTTCCCCTGGGTCCTAGACTCCCTCTGTTCCTACTCTAGCGGGGTCAGGACTAGTGACACAAGTGAGGCCGACCTTGTCATTTCAGTCTCCCATCAGGTACGTGACAGATGCACCAAAAATGGTTGCTGCCATTTCAGAGACCCTATGTGCCAAAATGATGGCCATCAGAAAGGTGTCATGACAGGAATTTCTCAGATATTCTATAGGGTAGGCTTTTGCAAGGTAGACAGATTCAGGTCCCATAATGGCAGAGAGAGTCTTGTAGGTGGAACAACATGTGTGATCCCCTGGATATAGGTACAAACCAGGGAAGGATGCCAAAGAACATTGGAAGAATATGTCCAAGGTAGAAAAATGGCCCTTTACAGTACTCTGGGCCATCCGATTTTGTTTGCGGAAAAGCCAAAAGTTGAACCACTGAGAACTTGCGGGATGATAACTCAGTGATTGCAATATGCAAAATATGCCTTCCAGAGATGATACTAGATGAAGAGGGAGGTGGACTTCTGGGCTTGAAGCCGCGTGGAAATATAAGTCGAAGAGACAGAGAGAGAACCTTATCCTTCAGCACCTGGGTTTCAACAGCCATGTTGGTAAAGCCAGTGACTGTACAGCAGGGTAGGAGGTCAAACCTTGAGAGGAGGTCTGGACCAAGCAGAGGACATCGTGGTACATTGGCGACTAGTTGAACAAGATCCAAGAATCTGTAGCCACCAGAATTACCAGCATGCCCTCCCCATCTATCCTCCACAGCAAGTGAGGGAGACATTTCGTACATCAAGGAGTACTTTCCCCATTGAGCCACCAGTGCATTTGATACATTGGCCCAGGCATCCCTTGTCCTGGCCAAAAACTTAGAAACCTTCCAACTGAGTCTGGACGCAAAGAAATCCATGTCCAGTGTGCCCTAGCATTACTGAATCTGGTGAAAGACATCCAAGTGTAGAGACCTTTCCCCTTCATCTAGACTCTGATGACTGAGATAGTCCGCCTGACAATGGTCAACTCCTTGAATGTGGACTGCAGTCAAGGCTGGGACATGAAGCTCAGCCCAATTAAGGATCCAAGATGCTTCCAGTGCAGCTGCCGAGTTCTTGGTGCTGCCTCTGTGATTATCTAATTCGCAGTTTTGGACCCTGGTGGAGCAACTCTCAAGAAGAGCTAACAGAGTGAGACAGGTGGATCGCCCTGAGCTCCAGAATGTTGATGGGAAGCCTGGTTTCCTCTGGAGTCCATCAATTTTGAACAGACAAGTCACTTGTGGATGGATCATGTTCCCAGCTTTGCAGAGAGCCTCGATTCATGACTTTCCCCATCACAACAGAGCTATGGCTATGTAAACATAGCCATAGCCTTGTTCTTCCTCCCTGACCAATGATCAGGCACCAGGTGCCGGTGAGCAACTGTTTGCTGGGGCTTGTAAGTCATTTTGTGCTGTGACATTTCACAGCAGATTTCCTCCGGTGGTGCGCACGTGCCCGTGTGGCATAAGTGCAAAGTCATGTATATGCCGCCCTGTAGCAATAGAACTGCTATAGGACGGATGGAATGTGGTCAAAGGCTCCTGCCAGATTTTAATTAGGAATTAGTAAACCCTTTTATAGGATTATCTATATGCAACTTAGAGAGTTCTAAAGAGAGAAATTTTGGGTTACCACCTAACTAGTTGGTCCCTTCTATTATTTGTCCAATCTAACAATATACCCTCACGTATACTTTCAGTGATTTTATATAATCCTTGGTATGCCTATTTTACAGATATAAAAATCTTAGGTGACTCCGCCAATTCAACCCCATTATAATCAGCATTATCTATGTGTGATTTTGTTCTGGGCGTTGGACCTCTGGTGGGATCTGTCTCTAGCTCTGCTTCCTTAACTTGGATTTGGTTGAGGTCTCCCCAGCTTTGGTTTGCATTTAGGCAACTATATGGACCCAGTTATATGTATATATGAAGAATTGTTGCAGTGCTGAATACATTGGTAACTTTGAATTTTGGATTTAGAAAAGTATTTGTCTATTCCACTTGTAGCTCCTGATGAAGTGGAGTTTCTCCATGAATCGCATTGGGCTTGTGGAATAAATCATTTGAGATGCTTGAACACAGCTGAAAATTGCATTAACAAGGAGAAAACCCACTCTAATGTGGAAAACATTTTATTGAATAGGAAATGGTTTTTAAAACTTTTTTTTATTCAAAATAAACTTATTATTTTAAAAATTAGACTGTGTGGTGCATTACAAACCCTGCCCTGGCACTGTGTTTCTCTACCTGGATCTAGTCACCCAACACCATGCTAAGTGGAGACAGAAAATCCATCAACGAGCAAAAAAATCCTGAAAACAAGCAAGCATTACAAATGGGGTCCTAGCTCCAAATCGCTAGACCACGAGCCATGTGTTACAGATGGGGGTTTGTCCACCAGCAGGGGCCGCCCCCTAGGAGCGATTTCTTCTATTTTGTTGCACCTAACCCTCCTGCAGATGGCACTATCAGACCCAGCTGTTAAGACCTGGAGACCTGTCCGTGTCTTTCAATGAACAGAAGAGAACATCTGATTGGACAATGCTGCAGCCGCATGGAGAATGATCTGCAATCCTGCAGCCCCATAGATACATAGTAATGATCTGATTGGACAATCCTGCAGCCCCATAGATACCTAGGAATGATTGGATTGGACAATCCTGCAATACATGTGACCTCACCTGGGGTGGCGATTCGGGACTCTGCGTCCTTTCAGCAGTTTCTGAACTCTCTGAAGCTGGATCTCGTTCTCCTGAAGTTGCTGAGCGTTCTCTATGTACTCACAGGCTGCAGAAACCGCCTGAAGAGCCCCTGTGTGAGAAGGAATATTACTCGAGCTGTGTTATGAGTGGGTGGAGGAGGCTTCACATGATCAATCTCAGACTATTACTGAGATGTCAAGAGCT